ACTTCCAAGGACTGCACCAGTTCTCAAGCTGGTGCTTTCCCATGCTGTGTTCAGACTTGAGGGAAGGTGCTTTTCCATTCTGCCTTCAGACATGTGAGAAGACAAAGGCCGTCTCCTACAGAGGTGGTTCTGTTTTTTCCTCCTGTAATCCTGCGCTGACCTTGACTGCCGGCAGGGGGCGCCTATGGACAGCCAGAGTGATGTCTTGAGTCCTGTGCTTTTCCCCCGTGGGCAGGAGGGGTAGTGAAAACCCAGTCTTTGTGAGGCAGGTTGAGTGCATGCGCCTTCCTTCAGGGCTTTCTCTTCGTTCCAGAAGGATCCAGCATGGAGGCGCCTGCAGGGCCTTGGCTCCAGGACAGGACAGTGTACGGAAAGGTTCCCGTGAGGAGCACACCCCCTTTGTGCCCCGACTGAGGCGGGGCCTCCGCTTCTCCAGGCCTTTGACCTTCAGCTGCAGACCAGAGGCTTCTCTTCTGTGACATCCCCTGTGGCTGACTCTACATCTTCAGGTAAGGAGACTTTCACTGCAGGTGAAGTTTTTCTGTTTTCTGGCAGGTTCCGTAGGGAAGGGGCTCAGTGAGTCAGACTCCCAGGATGTTGTTGTGTTCATTAGGGACTGAGGGTGGTTTGTGGGAGAAATCCCTGCAGAGATTCATAGAGAGGGAAACAGAAGGACAGTTGTGTATTGGACGCACAAGATACTGGGACCTTAGAGATGTTTAGGGTGCAGTCATGGAGCGTCCCTGGTGTGGACATACAGAACCTGCAGTGAAAAGGCAAATTTGAATAGTCTGTACACGGTTTGATTAATTTTTAATAGTTGATATTTGCTATAATGTTGAAGTGTTTGAAAAACTATGGCAAAGAGGAGTGTCGTAAAATATATTATTTTAAGCTCCAATATTCTAAGTTTCTGAAATGCACAATTTAATAATTTCACTTTCCTCGCTTTCAAAGAAAATAAGTGATCTGTAATGTCTTTAAAATATGCTTATCTTTCCGTTACTGTGGTGACAATATGAAATAGTGCAAAGTACTGGCTCATTGACCATTTCTTCCTGGATTCCAGCGTGATTGGTATTGTTAAAAACTGATCAACCCAGGCTGCTATCCAATTTTTTTGAGTGTAATAAGATAATACCCACAGTTAGATTGAGATGATCAAAACCCAGTGGTTATTCTTAAAATACCAACCATTGCCTACTGCTGCAAACCACTAAGGATGGAATACCTGAAAACGTAAGCATTCAGAATAGTGAAGAACCAAGACCGTGACTGCTTTTTATCAATGAGATAGATTCGTTGCACATGCAATTTTTTCCTATTAAAAATGCAAACTTGGTGGCATTTAGTTGAATTTTGTATGTTTCCATTCAAGTGATGACATGGTGGTATCTGTAATCTTGCTGTTGGTTATGATCCTCTTTTTATTGAGAATTGATATGTTTAGTGGGAGGTTTTTCATTTGTCACTTCTGTATTTTCCGTTGATCTCTTAAGTCCAAGTATAATCCCATGTCTTGTTAAAAGTTTTCTGTTCCTCCAATATAAAAATTACTTCCACACTTGAGTTGTAAGCAAGGTAGGAGGCCTTCTAAAAGTAGGCGTCTTTACATAAAGTCAGGATGCTTTGTTGGAGAACCTCATTAACGCTCTCCACTTGGTTCGCAGTATCATCCCTTCATGACAACTGCCTAAAACGATGCTGTCCCTGTGCACTGAGGTCCTTCTGATGTTGGTATTGTGTATTTTCCAGTTTGGTTTTTTATTCCATATCATTTTCAACTTACAATATTTGAATTTAAAAATGTGTGCTCTCGATTCACATATGCTTACATATACGTACACTTATAGTATCTGGTCAGTGTATATTTTGCATTGGGTGATGGCTGATGCATTTGATCTTGATGACCATTGGGTGTTTGTAAGTATACTTGAAGTACTTTCTAGGACAGAGCTGAAAATATCCCATCTGGTGATTCGATTCACAAAACCTGTTTATCCATTGTGTACTATTTTTAAGCTTATCATAGTTTGTATCTTCAGATGATGAGCTGAAAAAGGTACAAATTGGGCATGATGACATATACAGTAGAGGAATAATGGCTTCTGACTTTTAGTGCAAATTGCATAGTTCCTCATGTATAATAACTGACCATGAGTATTTTCTGTCAGCATTAACCTTTTACTATTTACTAATAATTACTGCAGGTACACCCTGTCCCTGTTTCTTTCCTTTCAGTGCAGTCAGTACAGCTTCTGTGGTGATGGCAGTGTTCTTATGTGAACATACCTTGTCCTCTGATGTATTCATGCTGGGCTATTTCTCTTGTGCAGTCAGAAGAGTATGAAAAATATTAGCTCTTTATATTATATTCTCAGTTGTATTTTGGGTCTAACCTGATTTCTTAGGTGCATTATATATTCCTTTTGAATTGTAAGCACAGGGGAACAGATCAATTTTTATGTTTACCTACATCATTAGCTATAAGGAATTCTATCAACATGTAAGTTGCACTAAATTGGGGAGATTACCAGCATTTTAGCTTTGAATAATTCTGTGTGATCTCTTAGTATCACGTCTGGCACACAACATACCAACATCTACCATCACTTGCAGTATAGTCGGCCACTTTTAATTCTTTGATTTTGTCATTGCTATCACCTGGGAAATGATGTTTGAATACTTTTTTGACATTTTCTGCTCAGAAAATATGACAAAACATTGAATCTCTTCATGGTCATACCTTCTGTTCTCATGGTTGTAATCTGTATATTTGAGTTAGAGATTTTTATTTTGTTCCATTACTGCTGAAATATACAAGTATTCTTGGAATACATGTGAGCCAGTCACACCAAGGCATTTTCTATTTTGTTTCTACAGCAGTCTCTTAAATGTGTTCAACCACGAAGTGAAATAGACACCATAGTATCTGAATCTACATACATTTATGATGCACATGCATTATCCACTCAAAATGAAAACTCTAACATAGTTGTTTGGAAATTATGTATCTTCCTGGGTTATTTATTTCTCAGTGTAATAAATACTACCTTTAAGAAACAAAACAGTAGAACTAGATGAGAATCAAAATTAATAGTAATTTCTAGTAGTTTAGAAATACTATGTGTTAAAATATGAAAAGTTACTTAATACATTTTTTGTTTTTGTTTTTTCAATTTTTATTAAGGTATTATTGATATATACTCTTATGAAGGTTTCACATGAAAAAACAATGGTCACTACATTTACCCATATTATCAAGCTCCCACCCATACCCCAATGCAGTCACTATCCATCAGTGTAGAAAGATGCCACAGAATCACTGTTTACCTTCTCTGTGCTACACTGTTTTCCCCATGACCCCCCACACCATGTGTACTAAACATAATACTCCTCAATCCCTTTCTACCTACCTCCCCGCCCGCTCTCCCCCTCCCCCCTCGCCCTCCCCCTCCCCTCCCCTTTGGTAACCACTAGTCTCTTCTTGTAGTCTGAGTATGCTGCTGTTTTGTTCCTTCAGTTTTGCTTCGTTGTTATATTCCACAGATGAGGGAAATCATTTGGCACTTGTCTTTCTCCGCCTGGCTTATTTCACTGAGTATAATATCCTTCAGCTCCATCCATGTTGTTGCAAATGCTAGGATTTGTTTTTTCTTATGGCTGAGTAGTATTCCTTTGTGTATATGTACCACATCTTCTTTATCCATTCATCTACTGATGGACACTTAGGTTGCTTCCATTTCTTGCCTATTGTAAGTAGTACTGAGATAAACATACGGGTGCATATGTCATTTCCAAACTGGGCTCTTGCACTCTTAGGGTAAATTCCCAGGAATGGAGTTCCTGGTTCAAGTGGTATTCCTATTTTGAGTTTTTTGAAGAACCTCCATACTGCTTTCCACAGTCGTTGAAGTAGCTTACGTTCCTGCCAGCAGTGTAGGAGGGTTCCCCTTTCTCCGCATCCTTGTCAGCATTTGTTGTTGTTTGTCTTTTGGATGTTGGCCATCCTTACTGGTGTGAGGTGATACTACTTCATTGTGGTTTTAATTGAGATTTCCCTGATGGTTAGTGATGTGTAGCATCTTTTCATGTGCTTGTTGGCCATCTGAATTTCTTCTTTGGAGAATTGTCTCTTCATATCCTGTGCCCATTTTTAAATTGGGTTATTTCCTTTTTCGGTGGTGAGGCATGTGCGTTCTTTATGTATTTTGGATGTTGACCCCTTGTTGGATATGTCATTTACCAATATATTCTCCCATACTGTAGGAGGATGCCTTCTTGTTCTGTTGATGGTGTCCTTTGCCATACAGAAACTTTTTAGTTTGATGTAGTCCAGTGTATTCATTTTTGCTTTTGTTTCCCTTGCTCAAGGAGATGCGTTCAGGAAGAAGTTGCTTATGCTTATATTCAGGAGACTTTTGCCTATGTTGTCTTCTAAGAGTTTTATGGTTTCATGACTTACATTCAGGTCTTTGATCCATTTGGAGTTTACTTTTCTGTATGGGGTTAAACAATAATCCAGTTTCATTCTCTTGCATGTAGCTGTCCAGTTTTGCCAACACCAGTTGTTGAAGAGGGTGTCATTTCCCTATTGTATGTTCATGGCTCCTTTATCGTGTATTAATTGACCATATATGGTTGGGTTTATATCAGGGTTCTCTAGTTTGTTCCATTGATGTATGGGTCTCTGTTATTGTGCCAGTACAAAATTGTTTTGATTACTGTGGCTTTGTAGTAGAGCTTGAAGTTGGGGAGTGTAATCCCCCGTGCTTTATTCTTCCTTCTCAGTATTGTTTTGGCTTTTCATGGTCTTTTGTGGTTCCATATGAATTTTAGAATGATTTGCTCTAGTTCACTGAAGAATGCTGTTGGTATTTTGATTGGGATTGCATTGAATCTGTAGATTGCTTTAGGCAGGATGGCCATTTTGACAATATTAATTCTTCCTATCCATGAGCACAGAATGTGTTTCCACTTATTGGTATCTTTAATTTCTCTCATGAGCGTCTTGTAGTTTTCAGGGTATAGGTCTTTCATTTCCTTAGTTAGGTTTGTTCCTAGGTATTTTATTCTTTTTGATGCAACTGTGAATGGAATTGTTTTCCTGATTTCTCTCTCTGCTAGTTCATTGTTAATGTATAAGAATGCAATGGATTTCTGCATATTAATTTTGTGTCCTGCAACTTTATTGAATTCAGATAGTAGATCTAGTAGTTTAGAGTGAATTCTTTAGGGTTTTTTATATACAAATCATGTCATCTGCAAACAGGGACAGTTTGACTTCTTTCTTGCCAATCTGGATGCCTTTTATTTCTTTGTGTTGTCTGATTGCCATAGCCAGGACCTCCAGGACTATGTTGAATAGAAATGGGGAGCGTGGGCATCTTTGTCTTGTTTCTGATCTTAGGTGAAAAGCTTTCAGCTTCTCCCTCTTAAGTAAATGTTGGCTGTGGTTTTGTCATATATATCCTTTATTATGTTGAGGTAGTTGCCCTCTATACCCATT